TAGCTTGGTGGTACAGCAGTTATATAATGTGCACAAGGCCCTGTGTTAAATCCCAGCACCACATAAACCAGGTCTAAGGAGCACTAGCTATGTGGTTTTAGTCAGTGTATTCAGCCTTCTCTCTGCTTGCTTTTTACAATGGTAGCTCATCTGTGGCAGTAACACTTGGTGAATAGAGCTATAGATGGCATGATTGTATGGTTTGCATGTTTTTCCTGCTGAATTGCTAATTGTGTCTCAGATGTGTTTTAGTTTGAATGATAAATTTTACTGTCACTTTTGGTGCAGTTGAATATTGCATTAACACATGTAAAGTGCTTCTGCAGTAACTGCCCAGGGAGGTTTATTGGTGCATTATTCCAGTTTGAACTTCTTATGTACTTAGGCTCTTTACCTGTGTGTCCTCTATCTACCACCCCCCTCCTGTGCTGAGGATGGAACCCAGAGCCTTGTACTCTACCATTGAGATACACTTCCAGTCTCCTATGTGTGGCCTTAAAGCCTTCTCAAACTCATTCATTGATTGCTGAGCTCTTGATCTTCCCCATCCAGATCTCGGACAATGACAGCTTCCTCTGTCAGTTGCTCAGGCTGTATTCCTTAGCAGTGTTCTTGACTTTATTCTTTCACACTTCACTTGCTCAGTTTTCAGCACATCCTGTTTACTTTTAGCTTAAAAATACCTAGGAAGCTGGGCTTAATGGTGCAGGTCTGTCATCCCAGCTGCTTGGGAAGGTAGGAAGTTCGGAACTTCAAAAAATGAGAAGAGGGCTGGGGATGGAGGTCAGTGGGAGACTGGGTATGTAACATGCATAATGCCCTGCATTCAAACCCCAAGACTGCAAAAACAAACAAAATCGCAGAAACAAATTAAAAAAATAAAACAGAAAATCAGATATTTTCCCCTCTCTACCTCTGCAGTCTTGGCTGTCCCAGCTCCTGTGACTTTGTCCCTAGCTTAAGGCACAAAGCTTCCTCCCTCAGCAGTCTCTGTGCAGTCAGTCCTGCATCTCTGGAGGCTTTTCTCTATGGCTGGTATGCTCTTATGTAGGCAGAAGTCAGATGATGTCTTTGCTACTCATGTCCCTTCTGGAGTGTCAGAGTGAGTTCATGTCACTTAAGTGGAAGCCAAAGTTCTTTCAAGGCTTACATGTCCTCAAGTGACCAGATCCAGGCCCTCCTGCCCCCACCCCTTCTTCTCTGAACTCATCTCAATCCTTCTTCCTCTTCTCTTGCCACCCCAGTGTGCCTGGCTTCTTGTATCTTGAACGTGCCTGGATCACTTGATTCTGTGCACCTGCCTTTTGCTTCTTGTGCCCTGTGGCTTCTTCTCTCAGGAGGCCTTCCCTGGCCATCTTGTTCTGTTGTAACTCTCTGTTCCCATTGAGTTCCCTACTTGACATTACTTAATGTGTGTATGTTTGTGACCCTCTTCTTGGAGCAGAAGTTCTACCAGGGCAGAGTTGCTTGTGTTTCTCTGCTGTTCCCCGGCCTCTGCAGCAGTAGTATGCGCTCAGTGCATATTTGCTCAGTGAGCAGGTGACACTGGGGTTTTGAGATGTGCTGTAGATTAGGTTTTGTTTTAATACATGTTATCTGCCTCATTTGAGTAGTTGATTTAACACATGGCTTTCCTACTGCTTTAAAGACTGACTGACTGACTGACTGACTGACTGAGGAAGATGCAGTGTGTGTTTCCTGAAACTTTGTGAATTAGGAGGCCAGAATTATGTTGGGAAAATTGGTTCCTGTGGGGAGCGCAAGGCCCAACAGTGCAGGAAGCAGCAGGTCCTGAGCAGGTCAGGCGAGACTTGTCTTGCTACAGCCGCTTCAGAATCTGCCTTTGCACTCACTGTGCGGGCTTGTGAAAATGATCTTTTCTCAGCTTTATAACCTGTGAAGTGGGGAGGGCAGCTTCTGTCTGATTCAGTTACTGAGCTGCTTAAAAAAAAAAAAAAAAAAAAAATCAGCTGAGGGACATGCTTCCTAAACCTCATGTTGGCATGTAGATACTGTGTATTGTTTACCCTGAAGGTCTTTTTTTTTTTTTTTTTTTTTTTTAACCCCTTTTAGGTCTTTTTGAGACAGGGTCTCCCTGTAGATCCAGCTGGCCTGGAACTCACTATGTAGACCAGGCTAGCCTCGAACTCACAGAATCACCTGCCTCTGCCTCCCAAGTGCTGGGACTACAAGGCGTGCACCACCACACCCCGGCGTCATTTCTGTTTTTTAAAAAAATATTTTATTTCTTATTTTTATTTTATGTGTATGAGTGTATTGCCTGCATGTATGTGAGTGCACCCATATTGCGCAATGTCTTGGAGGTCAGAAGAGGGTTCGGATTCCCCTGGAACTGGAGTTAAGGACGGTTTGTAGCCGCCATGTGGGTGCTGGGAATTGAACCTGGGTCCTCTGCAAGAGCAGTCAGTGTTCTTAACTGCTGAGCCATCTCTCCAGCACCCCTTGAAGGTCGTTTCTAACAAGGTGAAAGTGACATCTCTCCTGGGTAACATCATATTGCTCTCTGGGCTCCTATTTTCAAATGTCACAATATTGGCATATATTGGTCATTGTATATTGAAGCTCAAAAAATTATGATTAGTGTATTGCTCTATGTAGAGGAACAGTGCATGTTACATGCCCCTACTGAACTATTTTAGAGGCAAATGCACATACTAATTTGGCCTTCTCACAATTAACAATATAGTTGTCATATTAATATATAAATATAGCCAACCTGCAGATAACTGAGGACATTGATTTTTATATTTGTGCTCTGTGCACATGTGTGTATGAACACATACACTCATACACACTAGATTTATTTTGTGACTGTTTTCTCTATTTTGGATTTTTCTTATTTTTGGCAAAAAATATCTTCTTTGTAAACAGAAACTGTGTAATGTAGTGAGTAGTAAATATATTTTGGATTTATCTTTTTCATCTTTGATTATTGAATTAACATATAGTTTTTGGAGCAGTTATCTTATTAACTGTGGGAAAATGATCTTTTCTCTTAAGCTTATGAAAGTATCTTTGTCTTAAATGGCAGAGAGGTTTTCAGTCTGTGGCCTGTCAGTAGACTTGATGAATGCTTTGTCAGCTGCCTGAGCTGCTGCTGGTCTTGCTTCTTGTGTTACTGGCTGGCTCGTGCTCTGCACTCTGCGTTTTCAGCCGCTAATACCATCAGCCTACAGGGACTGTCTGCTTAGCTGATGATTTATGCAGAAGTTTTTTTTATTTTTTTTTTAAGGCACTAGAATACCTTTTTCTTTTCTTGAAACATGCTTAAAATGAAATCCTATCTGAAAACATTTCCTGTGTGGAAAGGAGTGACCTAGGGAGCCTTCTGACCTTGCATCTAGACAGACGGCCAGGGTCACTGCTTCTTCAGGGGCTTCTCAGTCATCTCTCAGAGGTGCTTGATGTGTTTTGTTTTACCTTTTAAATATTCCTGAATTCCTGAAGCTACTTTACATGCCTATGCTTATTATGGAGGAGTCTTCTCTGGTATCAGGTTTGATCTCTGGACTTCAGAGAAAGTGTGATATTTTATGCCTCTGGCATGACCAAAGAAAATTTCCTCTGCACCTGAGGCATGTAATTGCAAATGATTTCCTCTCTTGTTGGCTGAGTAAACAGCACCAATCTTTTGTTTGCTTGCCTATGTTGTCTCCTCTCTGGCTCTAATAGAGGGGAAGCAGAGGGTTCCCAGATTGATCCCTTACCCCTTTTGTTGCAGTTATGTGTGAGGATGAGGATTCTGAGCTCTTCCCTCATATATTTAATTCTGAGCACCTGGTACCTAGACATCATTTAGTAAAGATTGTTTCATAAATGAGATATTGGGGAAGATCAGAGAGTGTGGAAAATCAGTTAATGATTATTAGGATTTTCAAAACTGACTTGTAAAAAGCCTTTTTTTTCCATATAGTATGAAATTTTCATAAGAGTTGTGTTAGAGTTTAAGATTCACTGTTTTCGTTGTCTATGTACAGATTGTTTTTTGGGGGGGTTGGGTTTAGTTTTGGAGGAATTTATTAGTAAAGCTATTAATAATGGAAATTTGAAAGAATGTAAAAACTACATAATAGTCCCTAAAGATGGAAGGCTGTTTCTGGACGTATACTTAGTTTAGTTACGATGGAGATAATAAGCTGTTCAAGAAACATTTTCTTTCATCTTGGGGCACAACTAGAATGGTAGACTGAAAAGATGCGTCAGCTGCAGCTAAAGTTAATTAGACTCTTGCTTTGGAAGCTGTCCATCAAATACCATTTTATTCTTGAGAGGGGGTTTGGAAATTTGGAGGCAGAGGCGGTTTTCAAAAGACAGCATGTTGTATGACATCCCGAGACATTTTCCATAGCTGTGCAAATTATTTTTCACGTAGAAGTGATAAGCACTACACAGGTTCTTTTCTCTTCAGATTTATGAGTTGAAGTTAATTTTGTACAGTTATTCCCATTATATGTTGCTCATTGGGACACATCTTTTTCCTTTAAAAAGGTGAAAGCAGGGTATATAGTTTACTCTTACCATTTAGACAGACTGTGTTAGTATAGCAGTAAACCCCAAACCTTTTGCTAGTGAGGCATAAAACTGTGCCTGGAAATTGTACATCATCAGCTCTTCCAGCTTTGTCATTGTTGCCCGTGAGATGCTTTTATATTGGAAGCATAAATAAGTGATTTTTGTTTATTTTTATTTTATGTGTATGAGTGCTTTGCCTGCATGTAAATGCACCTGTGCATGCAGAGCCTGCGGAGGCCAGAAAAGGGTGTCAGATCCCCTGGAACTGGTGCTATGGATGGTTGTTAGCTGCCACATAGGTGCTGGGAACTGAACCTGGGTCCTCTGCAGAAACAGTCAGTGCTCTTAACCACTGAGCCATCTCTCCAACCCTGAATAAATTATTTATTTTTAAATGTTATTTTAGGAAGGAACTAAGAGGAAACTTTAAAGTAAAACCAATCTGTCTCCTTACCTTTCTCTCCTAGCATTTTGAAACGTTGGGGTTGTTGGAGTGGTTGGATTTTCCCTGGAATTGAGTGAGAAATTCAGAAGACTGAAGCCCAGGCTTACTGTCTACCTTTCACGGAGGCCTAGCCGTGAGAGGACAGAAGAAGGCACGTGGCGAATCATGACAGCGGACAAAGACAAAGACAAAGACAAAGAGAAGGACCGGGACCGGGATCGGGACCGAGAGAGAGATAAAAGAGAGAAAGTGAGAGAGAGTGAGAACTCCAGGCCTCGAAGGAGCTGCACCCTGGAAGGAGGAGCCAAAAATTATGCTGAGAGTGATCACAGTGAAGATGAAGACAATGACAATAACAGTGCCGCCACGGAGGAGTCCTCGAAGAAGAACAAAAAGAAGCCACCGAAGAAAAAATCCCGCTATGAAAGGACGGACACCGGGGAGATAACATCCTACATCACAGAGGATGACGTGGTCTACAGACCAGGAGGTAAGAGCAGTGCACGGGGCTGGTGGGTGAGGAGAAAAGTCTGGAACCCAGAAGAGTAGACAGTAGGTGGAGCAGCAGCGTTCAGTCAGGGAACATGAGGCTGCTAGGACCAGAGGGTTGGCAGTCTTGTGCCCATGTTCGTGGGCTTGGCACTATTTGGACCTTTGTGTCTCTGTGTCTTGTTTCCTTGTGGTACCTGTTCTCTCTCTCACTTGGTGTGAACCTAACAGTTTACATCCTTTGAATTCATCTTTACTTTATTATTTATTTATTTATTTATTTATTTATTTATTTATTTTTTATTGATTTTGTGTGTGTGTGTGTTTCATACATAACATCCCAAACAGTCTTATTCAACTTTATACCCACCTCCCAAATGGCACCCTCCCACAACCCCCCCCCATCCTCTGTCATCCCTGTTACTATCCACTGTGTTAACAGTGCCCCCAGCTGTTACCCAGTGCTAGTCCATCTGCTGAATCTAGTCAGCCTATCTAGAGTTCCTTGTTTTAGGAAGATCAGCTCTTCCTCATCTAGCAGCAATCAGTTGCCAACATTCCTTTAGATAAGATTGGGGTCTGTGGTTCATTTTCCCATTTCTATGCTGGGTTACTATCTGGGAGTCTCTTGAGCCACCCTAGCCAATAACTCATCATCTTTACTTTTTATCTTCAGCCATGAATTAGGCTTGCAGAAGAAACCAGAGATGTGTAAACCTTAAGATTCTGAGGAACAAGATGTTTTATGGTGAAAGATTTTTATTTTTTTGTCTTTTGAAACAGGGTTTTCCTGTAGCCCCAGCTGTCCTGGAACTCACTATGTAGACCAAGTTGGCCTTGAACTCACAGAGATCTACCTGCCTCTGCCTCTGCTTCTCTTTACTCCCTTTGTTGGGAGTAAAAGTGTGTACTACCATGCCCAGCTGAAAGATTTCTTTTTTCTTTTTCTTTTTCTTTTTTTTTTTGTCTTTTGAGACAGGGTCTCTCTCCCTTTAGCCCCAGCTGTCCTGGAACTCACTGTGTAGACCAGGCTGACCTGGAACTCACAGAGATCTATCTGCCTCTGCCTCCCAAGTGCTGGGATTAAAGGTGTGTGCCACCATGCCCTGCTTGCTGCCTCTGCCTCTGCCTCTGCCTCCTGAGTGCTGGGACTACAGGCGTGCACTACCACGCCTGGCCGAAAGAGTTCTTTAAATGGCCTTCAGAGCAAGGTTTTATCACTCCCAGGTAAACCTTGTCCCACAGTATTGAGCTTCAGATCCCCACCAGTCAGTGACAACAAATGAAGGCAACTGAGACGCACGGTAGTTTTCCTGTGAATGTACTCTGACCATTTAGTGCGTAGATGCTGTGGCTTTGCTCAGAGAGAGCCAGACTCAGCTTTTAGATGAGCTCTTTGGAGGTGATTTAGAATCTATTGAACACAGTAGAGCCTGTGTTCACTGGGAGAATCACCATGAGTACAAAACCAACCTTTTGAGGCCCTGTCTTAACACCCCCCCACACACACATACAGAGAGAGAGAGAGAGAGAGAGAGAGAGAGAGAGAGAGAGGAGCTAATAAAACTTAAGTGTAGATCATATTATTTGAATTATTTACATTGCCAAAGAATAACGAGAATTTAATAATTAACATATTTAGCGGTACCCAGTTTAATGTGTTTCCAGCAATGGGAGTTAAGTGCTTCACTGTACTATGTCATTAACCCAGTTCAGTCATTTTACTGGGAAGTACTGTTAGCTGTTCTGAGTATTTTTATATAGAATTCCAGGTTTGGGGGAGCCATATAGGAATTGTTTTTGCTTTTTCAGAAGCCAGTTAGTATTAGGACATGCATAGACAAACGGGTTCACAGCTATAATTTCTTGGTTGACAATTTTGGAGGTGGGTATGTAATATGAAATTTTCAAAGGCAGGGATTTTTGGAGAACTTAAAGCGCTGTTGGGGAGACTTAGTCTTGTATGTTACAATGCCATCAGCTTATCTATGATTCAGATGCAGGTGATGGACAGCAAGAGTGTCTGAGCTGTTCAGCTTCTGGTAGCTTGCTAAGGGCCTCTTAGCTTAGGTCTTTTTTTTTTTTTTTTCTTTTGTCTTTTTGAGACAGGGTCTCTCTGTAGCCCCAGCTAGGCCTGGATTTGCTATGGAGACCAGGCTGGCCTCAGAAATCTGCCTGCCTCTGCCTCCAGAGTGCTGGGATTAAAGGTGAACACCACCACACCTGGCTCTGTCTTAGGTCATTTTTTGTTTTAGGTTTGTTTAAAGAAACAGAGTCTGGGGGTCTGGAGAGATGGCTGAGCTGTTAAGAACACTGTTCTTGCAGAAGACCCCGGTCCCACATGGCAGCTGACAACTGTCTGTAACTCCAGTTCCAAGGGATCCGACAGCCTCTTCTGTCTTCTGCGGGCAGTGCACGACACAGGTGCACTCACCTATGCACAGGCAATACATGCATATACATAAAATTAAAAAAAAAAAGAGGGCTGGAGAGATGGCTCAGCGGTTAAGAGCACTGACTGCTCTTGCAGAGGACCTGGGTTCGATTCCTAGCACCCACATGGCAGCTATAAACTGTCCTTAACTCCAGTTCCAAGGGAATCTGAAGCCCTCTTCTGACCTCCGGTGCATTGCATGACACGGGTGCACTCACATACATGCAGGCTATACACTCATACACATAAAATAAAAATAATAAAATCTTAAAAAAAAAATTAAATATTTTTTTTAAAAAAGAGACAGGGTCTGATAGCCCAGACTGACCTCCACCTCACTTTGTAACTCAGGCTATTGGTCTTAAACTTATGGTCCCTATGTTCCTCAGTCCTGAAAGCAGGGATTGCAGGTGTGCACAATACTGGGCTAGCTATTTTGTTGTAATCTTGAAAAAGGAATAAAATGTGTGATGTAGTTTAGATGTTGATTATGTTATAACTGAAAATAAAAGGAGAGACCTATTTGTTACTCTTCTCTCGATATGTAACAATGTAATGTATAATATGACTGTTGGGGTCATGGCCAGCTTCAGTGTCACATGTCAGCTCTGCTCACTGTGTATAATGTGCAAGGTTACTCGTGTCACTAAAGACACTTTAACATGTTAGGAGTCAGGAGCTTATGGGAAATGCTGCCCAGGCTGTCCCCTCCTGAGAAGATGCATAGTGACTCTGAGAAGTCCTGAGCCAAGAAAAGCTGTCACATGAACAACACCTGCCACCTGCTGCTGCTGCTCCTGTTCATGAACTGGGACAGCCTTTTCTGATGAATGTTCCCTCAGAAAAACTAGTTTTGAGAAAATGTGTTTGGGAAACATTGCCTACCTTTTACAAAAGTACAGGAAGCCCTGCTTTTTTGATGTTCCAAAGAAAGTGTGGAAGGAGATTGTTAGGGCTCCTTGACAGTACAGTTGGTTCTTCTAGAATTCTTTGGGAAGAATTATTTATAGTCCTCTCCATGGGGCATTGGCTCTAGGACCTCTCAGGTCCCTCAGTCTGGATTCTCAAGTCCCTTTTTCTTTCCTATTTTTCTTTTTCTTGCTGTCTTTTCCAAATAACGTCTAACTGGAGGTTTGCTAAGTATGCCTGTTCTTGAGGTTTATTTCAACTGAAAGTCAAGAGGAGGGAACCATCACCAGATTCCCAGATGGAAGTTGGTTTGGTTTCTCTCCTTTGTTTACCCTCATGGTGCCCCTGTCTTTGCTTCTGCTGTGCTTTTGTCATTGTAAGGGGTTGAACTCAGGGTCTTGAGTCATTGTAAGGGGTTGAACTCAGGGTCTTGAGTCATTGTAAGAGGTTGTGCTTTTGTCATTGTAAGGGGTTGAACTCAGGGTCTTGAGTCATTGTAAGGGGTTGAACTCAGGGTCTTGAGTCATTGTAAGAGGTTGAACTCAGGGTCTTCTGCCCTGTCACTTAGCTTCCCTTTTAAAAAAACGTTTAGTTTTGGGTCAGGGTCTCACTAAGATCCTCAGCAGGACTTACACTTGTGACCCTCCTGCCTCAGCTGAGTTCCTGAGATCATAGGCATGTGCTGCCACGGTCATCTGTCTTTTTCTTTTTGTTATTTTTGGAGTCACATGTAGTCCAGGATGGCCTTGAAAACATTGTATGTATGTAGCTGATAATGACTTGATCCTTCTTCCCCTCACCTCCGAAGTGCTAGAAATATAGGCATGTGTTATAGTGCCTGACTCTTTAATTGAGTCTTAAAAACTTAGAGTGTGTTATAAAGGATGTCTTCAAGGGATTGATAAATTTTGAACAGATTCTGTAATACTCAGAAAAATTTAAATGTTATTAAGAATTTACCCTGCAGCTGTTCTTTGGGGATAGGCTGTGACACAACTCTGTTTCATTGCCCTGAGGGGACAGGTCTATAGTCAGGTTATTATTTGTTCTAAGAAACAAATTAAGTTTTACTTAGAATTTGTAACTAAGGCTTATGCCTTGTCCTGACCAGGGCTTTTGCAGCCGTGCTTCTCATCTCTGGAGTCAGCTTAGTGTTGTCCCCAGAACTCAGCACACTGAATTCTGTTAGTGTCACTACTCATGTCCCCTCCTGTATCAAGGAGGACACTGCTGCCTCATACTAGCGCTTAGCCTTTCTTTAGCTCTGTGACTCTAGTGCCGTTGTCTCTTCACTCCCAGGTTTGTTAGATTTCCTTGTTAGATGTTGTTATAATGTCTTCCCTCTAAAACTTACCTGGTAATAATTTTCCTTGACTTGTAATTTAGAATTACTGTTAATTTATTTTGATGTGAATGCAATTTAAGCTGGGAAAAATCCAAATGAGGCAAAATAAAAGTAGGTATCCAGTTGAATCAACAAGTACTGTATATAATCTTTAACGATCTCTGACAGTTTCCTGGGTACAAAAGCACATAATGGTGTATACTTCTCTTTAACAACATTTAAAGACAAGTACAAGTAATCCGTGTTTGAGGTTGGAGAGAGGTGGGCTGTGGGCCGAGGCATATGGAATGAAGTGTGAAGGAGACCCCAGGTT